ATTCCCGACACCATGTCGCCTCAAGCTTTGACGCTGACCCTACTCGCGGTGATGACGTTCCGGTGCCGGTGCCGCAAGCTCAAGAAGCTGGAGATGATCAGCTGCGCCGAGCGGAACCGCCTGGTGGGAATCGCCAAGCACGACCGGGTGGTGACGGTGGAGCGGCTGCCCGGCTCCGTGGTCAGCCTCACCTGCCAGTTTTGCGGCGAACGTGACGACGGCGCCGCCAAGCGCTGGTACAAGACCAACGACCTGTGGTGCGTGGACGTGGCCGGGCAGGCCGTGGACGTGGGCGTCGGCAAGGCGCGCATCACGATCGGCCGCGACCACACGCTCGTCATCCGCGAGCTGGACGTCAATGACACGGGCATGTACTACTGCTACGACCGCTACCACGCCGACGACCAGCACAAGTTCATCTACACGGTGGACATGCTGTTCCCGGCGCAGACGCCGCCAGTCGAGGGCTCGACGGATCGCGACCTCAAGGCGTACACCGCGAAGTACATCAACAAGACCACCAAGTTCAAGCTGAAGACGTACTGGCGGTTCAAGGACATCGAGCTGTACCTGTCGTGGGCGCCGTGGTCGTCGTGTCACGGCTGCAAGGGCCAGCCGGGCCAGATGTGGCGGATGGGCACGCTGCGACAGCGGCACGTCGACTACGAGCAAAGCAAGCTGGTCAACTCGCGCGGCAGCACCTCTGTGTCATACAAAGTCGGCCTGGCCGCCCGCTCCATGCACATCTTCCTGCATGAGAAACAGCTGAGTCTGGTGCTGCGCGAACTGCCCGACTACCTGCAGCGGCGCAACTGCTCCAACCCGCGCCGCTGCAAGAGCAAGAAGCGCGCGGCTGACTCGCTGCGCGAGCGTTCGTTCCTGGCCAAGCTGGGGCCGGCGCCGCGCCAGAGGTTCACCGCGGAGGTGTTCGAGTCGGACCCGGCCATACTCGAGTGCCCGTGGCCGCCGGAGAAGACGATGCGTCAAAAGCTGCGCCGCATCGTCTCCGAAACGACCATCGGCAGCATGCTGGGCGTACACATGGACCGGCCGCGCGACCGCGACATTGCCTGGTTTTACTACAACCGCGCCGTCAACCGGTCGTCGGTGTTCGCCGAGAGCGGGCACCGGATCCGCGTGTCGCGCGACGGACGCCTCATGATCGCGTCAGTGCGCCGCGACGACCGCGGCCGCTACAGCTGCGCCGAGGACGGCATCGAGTTGGCTGTCATCCAGCTAAAGATCAAGCCCACCTACAGCCTGCGCCAGTCGTACACATCGTTCCGCGTCCTCGGCGCCAGCTTCGTTCTGGACCTAGCCATGTTCGTGTTCTTCCTGACGGTGCTGTACCGGCAGCGGCGCGTGCAGCGGCTGCTGGCGGGCGCCAGGTGGCGCCACGAGCAGCGCCAGGAGCGGCGCCGCGAGAAAGGTCGCAAGCGCCGCTTCCTGCTGCAGCAGCGGCGCCAGCTGACGGCCGATCGGGATCAGCTGACGGCGGCCGGCGTCAGTCCCGACGAGGTGATGCACCTGCTGAGCGAGACGCTCCTCAAGGAGGACGACGAGGACGAGGACGACGCCGAGGAGGGCGACGAAGATGAGGAGGCGGATGATGAAGACGAAGAGGACGAAGACGAGGAAAATGAAGAGGGGGAAGATGAAGAAGGGGATGAGGCCGATGAAGGACAGGTATGAATTCTTCGAGCATGCTGCAGTTGTGAAGACCATAGCCCACTAACTCTAAGTGAAGGGCATCTGTCTTCCGTGCCCACCGATGCGTAGCGCTACAGCCATGGCGTGTGTGGTACGTGATGTATGTCGCAAAAGCACACATCACTTGCGCGCATGTGCGTAAGCGCTCACACTCGCGCACTCTTATCAGTAGAATGTTCATCACACAGACGGCATATATCCAAGATATTAGACGAGAAAGAAACACCGGGATAGCCGTTACCACTGACAACGAAGGTATGTTACATAGCACAGTGCACCGCAGATGGGTGCTGCCGAAACCTGCGGATGCTTTGTTGCGTTTGCGGGTACGCTGCAATGCTAGCTTTCCTGCCAATAAGACGCACAACGCGTAGCATTTTAATCGTGACCACGTGTGGTGTTGTGACAACTGCACCTTAAATGCGGCGCATCTGGAAGTGGTATTGTCACCTAGTGTTGCAGTCTTGGCTGGTGTTCATATGTTCTAGTATGCTAGCATATTCGAGTGCAAACATAAGTCTATTTAGTGTTTTTATTTTCGTGTCAACAGACAGGCTTGTTCGTGCGATGCATCCTTTCGTGTGACACAAACGTGGAACGTTCATCATCAGTTTTAAACATTAACACTTATCACTCACCTGCATTGTTTTTGGTTTTATTTGACGCCGGCGATTTGCTGCGACCCCTCTTCGTTTTCTTAGCAGAAGTCAGCACCACTTGGGACCTGAACTCAAAGGGGCCGAAAACTGTGAAACGGGATAGATGTAGTTAAAAATGATTGTTTCATTCAAAAACTGCGGTGGCATTCTGGATCTCATCGCTTGAATTGGCTGGCTATCAAACTCTTATTTTAATGAAGAATTCCACGCGGCATTGTGCGCTCCTAAATCGCCTGGATTTCGGTGCAAAGGTGGTAGAGGAACACCAATGTTGCCTCCCCGACCCAAATTTCGGTGTCAGTGGTTTCAAAAAACATGAACGATTTCCGTTATAATAATCGGGTTAAAAAATATGCAGTATTCGGAGAGCAAAACGGCAGTTTGCTTGATTTTCGGTGCCACACGACTTTGAGCATTTTTGGTCAAATTGCTGAGTAACTGCGTTAAATATGGACATGTTCTTCTAACTGCCATATCGACTGAATAAACTGCCATAATCAGTAGGAATCGAATTTGTCTGCTGGTGGAAGCTATCACCACAGTTACTTCACTTGTATGAATTAACAGTTCAATAGGCATGCACAACAATGTTGGAATAGGCATGAGAAAGTGAACAATATTGAAATAGATCTTCTTCACAGAGGTAAATTTAAACAACACATTCACGCCCTGTTTATGAAAAATACAACATCGGCAAAAATGATCAGTAAATTTCACGTAAAGGCAAAGCTTCGACGTTCGTAATCCCATGTCCAAATGGATTATTTTGAATGCAAACATGGACCTGAATACTGGAGAAAGAAAAACAAAAAGTGGAAAACAAGTTGTCAATATAAGCAAAGAATACCATGTCTGTTTCCCGCCCTCCCTCCCCGCAAGCTGGTCGCGGTAATGAAATCGGAACCCGTCATTGTAACCATGCGTTTCTTAGGAGTTAAAGAAGAAGAAGATTTAAACGCTCCAATGTCCCGCATACGAAGAAAGCATTTACAAAAAGCATACAACACTCGTTCAAAAGTGGTTGTTTTTCAACAGCCTTGTGGTCTGTATTCACACGTGGTATTCTCCAAGGTTATTCGACCCCGCGACCACATCACGTTCAGGTCAATGCGCCACGAAGGACATCCGTTCTCCCTGACTATCTACGTGGACGGCTGTGACGTGACTAGAGTGAGCCAGTGTTGTGAGTACCGCCGCCAGTGCGGTGAGCACATCGGGGGCCCACACGGCCACTTCATTATGGTGGATGTGGAGGGAGGCTACCCATGCTCGCGCTGCATGGCTGCCAGGGACTACCGACTGCAGCGCCAGGAGAAGGTCTTCCGCAAGCTGGACCGGCAGCTGCACGACACCGTTCAGGCGGCGCGCAGCAAGATCAAGGCACTGGAGAAGGACTACCGGGCCGACATAAACTCCCAAAAATCTCTGAGCAGGCGCTCCACGTCCGCCAGCTTGGGCAGCGGCCTGTCACCAAAGCAGGTGGTATCGGTGGTCGTGTCATCGACCAAGAGGAGATCCTCCACTGGGGCGGAAGAGGTCAGTGTGAGTGCCGCAGGTGAGGACAGCGGAGGTGAGAGTGACAGCGGCAGCGTCAGCGGCAGCGGCAGTGGCAGCGGCAGCGGCAGTGGAAGCGGAACCGGCAGCAGTGGGGGGTCAGGGTCCGCGTCGGCCAGCAGCACCGGCAGAAGCGACGACGACTCAGGCAGTGGAAGCGACTCTGGATCAGACAGCGACTCGGCATCCGATGAGTAGCGACAGATCATAAACAACTAGGTTGTACTTGGCCTGCTTGACGGGCTCCGGTCTCAAAGTTAAATCAATAAGTCCAGTTTATGCAGACAGCATGAACTCAATTTAAGGATCTGTATTATCTGGGAGTCAAGTTTCCAGTTGGTGTATATGTCTTATTGGGCAATTGTTAATATGTACCTGTTTTATAAGACAATTTTGACCCGCAGCACAAATTTTGGAGTTGATGAGCCGACCTGACAGACGCAACGACTCAAGAGCATTTGATTGTTCGTATTTGGCATGGCATTTCTCCGAATCAATTCCAGTGTTTACGTGTATACGTGCCAAGTATTTTGGTCACCATGTTCCATGACACGGGGAAATTTTGCTTCATACATACCAGCATGCAAATTTGGAAGTGATTTGCTATCCATGCTGTCCTGAGTGTACAATCGTTTCCTGAAGGTGAGATCCCAGGCGACAAATGCCGCCCGCGCTCTATCGGAAAACAACTGCTACCCTGCGGACGCTTTACCGGGTTAGCGGGGGGGGGGGGGGGGGGGGAGAGAGAGGGCGGGGAGCAACACTCACTGTACTGCTGGGCGACGCTGACCTGCGTCAGTTTGTTCACGAACTCCCACTGGGCGCGCGTCAGCGGCCAGGAGTCGCGCCGCACGCGGCCCACCAGCCGGTAGCGGTCCCAGTGCTCGGGCCGCGCCTGCCTGTCGGCCAGCTCCGAGCTGCTGCCGCCCCCGCCGCCGCCGCCGGACCCGCTTCCAGGCGGCCAGCGGTCCTGGTCGGAGGGACGCGATCGCCCGCGCGACTTGGCGGTGCCCTTCCTGCCTGTCGTCTGGTCCGCCGCCTGCGTCCGTTCCCTCTGCGACGAAGCGGTACGGACGGTCAGGCCGGCTGTGGAGGCTGGGTACGGGCGATCGGGTCAGGCGTGGAGTCTGGGTACGGGTGATCAGGTCAGGTGTGGAGGCTGGTTACGGGCGATCAGGTCAGGTGTGAAGGTCGGTTACGGACGATCAGGTCAGGTGTGGAGGCTGGTTACGGGCGATCAGGTCAGGTGTGGAGGTCGGTTACGGGCGATCAGGTCAGGTGTGGAGGCTGGTTACGGGCGATCAGGTCAGGTGTGGAGGCTGGTTACGGGCGATCAGGTCAGGTTTGGAGGCTGTTTACGGACGATCAGATCAGGTGTGAGGGCCGGTTACGGATAAGCAGCGCACAACACATCAGAGGCGGCGCGACATGGAGGCAGAAGGGTACGAGTATGCTTTTGCCCTGGCCTTAAATTCTTGAGAGATACTTTTTCCAAACTAGAGGAATTACGACTATCAGGACATCACCAAATTGTACATCAAGGAAAATCCTATGAGTGAGCTAAATAGTGATAAAAGGAGCTCAGAAGACCTTTTTATTCAATACGAAGCCGGTTTTCTGGATCATGAGGCCACCTTTATGAATGAGGTTCCCCGTGATCTAGATAAGGAAGCCCGATGCTGTGTTAAGAATGTCCGTTTGCTGGCTCAGGAGGCTTCCGTTACAGAGAAGGAGGCTCTGTACTGTGTTAGCAGGCACTCTCTATATTCAGGAGTCCCCATTTCTAGGAAAGCAGGGCCCTTTGATGCCCCAGATGGCCGCGATTTCAAATCAGGAGGCCTTGTGTTAGGGATATCGAGGCCCTTTGGCTATATTGAGGCCTCCTTCGTGAATCGCAAGCGTCTGTTCTGGGTTTGGATTTGGAAGCCCCTATATGCATCAAGAGACCATTTTCACAACAGGTGGTCCTGTTTTATGTTACCGAGACCTTCGGTTGGATAATCATAAGGCCCCTATGCTGAACGTTTTAACTCTCGACAGAAAATTGCTCGAACATGGTACATTTCACAGCTTGGTAAAAAAGCCAATGTCCTCTGAATTCCTCCCTTGAATGCGGCACTTCCTATGGGACCTCCTGTGAGGAGGTCCCGTTTTGTCCAGGAGGCCGGCTTGAAAATCTTGCCCCCAACTCAAGATCGGTGTCGCTGCCTGTGTAGCACGGCTACAGCATAAGATGACTGCAGTCAATAAAATTATTCAAACGGATACGCGACGCAGACGACAGTAAAGTTAGCACCTTATATGCCGACATCTTTCTTTTCTTGTCCCTCGGGGCTGATGGCACAAACGGATCCTCGCCGTCCAGCGTGAACAGGGGGATGACGGCCTGACCCAGGCCTTCCACGAAAGCCACCAGTTTATCTGCCACACAGAAATAACACAGTCAACATCGGATGCGGCAACACAAGTAAAATAAGACCCATCTCACCAGCCATCAATGATTACGACATACGCGGAAACGCAGAAATCATGGTCTGTTAAATTAGAGCGAAGCGGCAGAAAAACGCGGCAAAGTTCAGACCGGTGTGGAACATAGTTGCGGTACCGGAGTGCCACTGCAGCACGATGGTGCCGCACCCTGGCCTGGTCTGGCTCAATGGAATGATATCAGACTGTCACTCCAGCACGATGGTGCCGCACCCAGGCCTGACATGACCTTTGCTTTAAGACAGCCTGAGGGCCTTCCCTACTGAGCGCCTATCATATGTCTGACCGGCCAATTAACGACAATAAAGTCCTCTTATCTCAGTCGCCATGTCAAAAATGCGCCTGATTGATTTCTGTGTTTGTATACTCCGCATGTGATACTTAACGTACTACCTGCGATGCCTTGTTGCTCGTTGACCAACACTTCAGCCAGATTTGACTCAATACCTCAGGTTGAAAAAATAATCCCATTTCCTTTGACCTTGACCATCATCCCTTGCATGTCCCCCTCCAGGCTCGGCTCAGGTTAAATCTGCCCTTCAGGCTCGACTCAGGTTAAGCCTGAGTCGAGCCTTAAGCCCTCTCAACCATAAGCTCGTCTCAAATCAATATGTCCACAGAGACGTACTGCGTAAGCCGACCAATTAGAAGGCGGCCGGCCGGTCATGCGTCCGATAGGTCAGGACCCAACAGACGACTTTTCGGCTTTGATCCTGTCATGAGGCACGGCCTGTGGCGTGCTCCGCGGCGCGCATCAAGCAAGACGATTCTTGGAACTGGTACTTGGCCTGCCCAACTTTTCAAGGAGTCAGATTTGACGGAAACACTGACCGGCGGCTGACCCGACAGGGTATCGACCGACCGACAGATTGCGATCGACAGCTGACCCGACAGAGTATCGGCCGACCGACAGGTTACGATCGACAGCTGACCCGACAGGGTGTCGGCCGACCGACAGGTTACGATCGGCAGGCGGCCAAAGAAAGGAAGCCGGGGTCTTGCGGCTTTTCAAAATGCTCCCGCACGCGGATCTACTGCGATGAAACATGGTGGTAGGATGGTGACCACCGCCAGGGACGACGGAAAAGGCACTTACATGAAGCCTCTTGTTTCACAAATTGTGGCACACGGCATGCGGATGTGCTACATTTGGACACACGTGTGGGCATAGTCCTCCCGCGTGAGTTCAACCGGTTGTACCAGTCGGTCAACTATGTTGATTCACTATGATTTGTTGGTTGTGGATTGCGTGCAATTTGTTTGGTAAGTTTTAAACATGGGTTTATTTCAGCACCAAAACGGTGTTTATATCAAAACAATGTTTACTGGGACCAGAAGACCAGGATGGCAGTGCTCACTTTTTTAAAATACCTTTGGTTGTCAGGTATTTGGCGGCCTGAACGTTGAATGCTCTCGTTTCATTACTTGACAGACCTTTTGCAACTTAATGCGGCTTATCTGTGCTTTTCCACGATTTGGAATAGCTAGGTAGGTCATGGCAAATTCTAGATCAGTTCCAGATCATCTTGAAGCCGACCTGGCTCATTTCTCTTCCCTATCACCTTGGTCAAAATTCTGAAGAACACTACGTCACGAGCTGCAGAGCTAAAGCTGGCTGCCTTTATTGGGTGACCTTTAGCACGCACCGATCGCATTCGCTAGTTAAACTGGCCTCCGATTCGCAACCGTACGCGCAGGCGGTCTTGGATGGCCAAAAATGTCAAATATTGTATATTACCGGTACTTTATTACTTACACCCGTTATGAACCAGGTGACACAATGGCTTACCATGTAGGTAAGCTTTAAAATTATGCTATTTCAATCACTGAAGCAACATTCACGCAACGTGTTCACGTACCTGGAGAAACATTCACGACTGCGCATTGACATTATGCCAATGCGCAGTCGTGAACACAGCTGCAAATGAAGGGGACAGTTTTCATCAACGAAAACACACACGACTTCGGCAGTACACGTACCATTTGACCAAAGCGTTCTTGGGTGTAATGGACATATTGCAGCTTTCTGATAAAAGCAGCGGATTGACCAAAAACTGACCAATTTCACGAAGCATCACGAGAAACACCTTAGCTACCAAAACACTAATTAGTCATCGTGACGAGCTCTAATTGTCCTGCGTGACAAGAGAACTGAACCTCCATTGATTCTCACAAACAAAATTACTTTCAGGATTGCGAATGTCCCTCTCTATAAGCTCTGAGGTTTGTTTTGATGAGAAAAAAACATGTCGCTACGAAAATATGCTCCCCTCTTTCCCGCCCAAACTAAGGAGACACGTAGGGAAGTGTTGTCCCAAAGCAGGATGTATGCGCAAGCGCGTGATGGAAGGCGATCATAATTCACAATTTTCCAATTAAAATCAATTTTAGCGTTCCACTAGCTCGCAAAATTATCGCATGGCGTGAAATGGCATCGCATTTATGAAATCCATCATCTTTTCAAGATATAACTCCATTTCTCAATACCGATACTTACATTTGATCGCTTGATGAGGAGATACACGCCCCAGGAGCCCTTGAATACGCCATTGCCCAAGAGGCTGCCTGTGAGGAGACCCCATTTTGTCCCGGAGACCCCTTGCAAAATTCTGCTCCAAACTCAAAATCCGCGGCGCCTCTCCTGAAAATAGGGTGAGGACATGCGAAAGGTTGAGGAGCTAAATTTAAGAATTCGGCAAACCAACGGATAGACGTTCGTCACTCTAAGCTAAGCCACAGCCACCGCACAGGCCATACTCTCATTGTCGAAGATCTGGACGTCCACGAGCGCCTTCTCGTGGCTGGCCTCCATCTGCAGTGTGAGCTGGTGTCCCCTGCCGGCCCTCATGTAGTAACTGTCGGCAGAGAGCGCCGCACATCGACAGCCTGCCACCGCCAGACGCTGAGCTTAGCCACAAGGCAAGAACCACGACCCACAGCCTGCAGTGTGCCAAGCGAACCACACACCGACATTACGGAATAGTTATCCTTCCATTTTTCACATCACGGACAATTCGAAGCAAGTCATTGATCAGACGAAATCTGTTGCATTTTCCAAATTCTTCGCACTATCTCGTTCTCTTCCTATTTATGAACTTCTTCATCTATGTCAATGCTAATTGCAGCCTGCATTTCTATCAAAATCGTCTATAAGACTGCGCTCAGCGTAACAACTATCACACCAAAGTGTTATCATGCAGTCTGATCAGGAGCACCTACTCTCAAACGTCAGCACTGTCCACAAAATTGAATCGAAATAATTCGTCGACCACGAGGTTCTGCCACGTCAGCCGCGTGAGCAGCCGCCAGGCAAGCCCACGTGAGCCGGGCCAGCCGTCGCAAGGCGAGGTCACATGAGTCCTGGATTGACCACGAGGTGGGGGACCGGTGGCGCTAACAGCGCAGTGCCTGTTTATGAACATTCACGGTTCCGGCTGCGTTCCGATTGGAGGAGCCTGGAGCAGGCCTCGCTGCCCACCTGAACACGACCTCGTCCGGCCGCGGCACGTAGTAGTCCCGGATCTCCATGGTGACGAAGGTGGAAGAACAGGCGGCCACCTGAATCAGCTTGTTGTTGGAGAACATGCTGAGGTCGCGGACCTGGTCCAGGAGCCAGCACGTCCAGTGGCCGCCAGGGGGTGGGTCGTGCCGGGCCAGGCCCTCGGCCACCAGGCAGTACCCCTCCTATGCGACGAGGAAACACTGTCTCAACGCGCCCAGTGACGGCTGTACACACGTGCTGGCGCAGGCAAGCATGGGTTCGAGTCCCAGAACCCGAGTCTGATTCCGCACGCGAGTCGTGGTGCCTCCGCTGTGAGTTCCGAGCCCCGCTTGGTGATATCGCAGCAGTCCGAGTCCGAGTACATCAGCAGCACTGCACACAATTCCATGTGCGAGCCCTGGGACTTTGGGTCAGATCCCGAGTTCAAGTCAGTAAGACTCAGAACCATAGTGCTCGTACACAGATCCGCGTCCGTGATCCAGAACCTCTAGTTCAATTTTGAACCCGTCAGTTTGCACAAAGATCGTGCGTGATACAGATTGAGATGGATTAAGATCGTAGGGAGTCATAGCTTAACCTAACCTCGCATGTTAGCAGCACGTGACATATCCCATGGCATAACATGTATCATACGATATGTCACGTGCCCGCGTTTTTGTGTTGCACGAAACTTATTCCAAGTTAGCTTTTTCACGAAGATCTTTGCGGTTGCGATTTTTGCTGTGCTTTGTTGTCCTGTGAGATGCTTGTGATACGATCTCCATCACCCAGTCTGATTTGCGTTATGCAGTTTGCATTTGAGGGGAATCAGGATCTGAATCGTGGGCCGCCAAATATTTGTGCGAGCATCTTTCATCTAGGATCGCGATTGAGTTCGATTATGTTTTTATGCCTACCTTCTGTAAAAGCAAGACACCGAACCTGAATACCCCCACAAAAAACAATCCTAATGTCCCCAGAGACCGGTTTGGCCCAAACCCACGCTTGGTGGCCTCGCGGCATTACTTCAAGGAACGTCCCTCATGTCTGCGCCTAATCAAACCGATGGTGACCCTTCTCCTCGTATACAATCGTACAAAAAACATAATATTTATTTGAAAACGTATCTTGACGAGATTACTTGAAAATATGACCCGACACCCTTTTACCTGAGTTTTCGCCGCTTCGATTGGGTATCCCATGTGGCCGGGCGGGTCCAAGATGCACTTCTTCTCCATATCGACCAGGTGCATTCGAACCGGGAATCCAGCCGACACGAAAGGTCTCACCAACACCATCTGGTGTGCACAGCCGTAAACATGTTGAATTTTGAATGCAACCCAGCTGGGCGAACGACTACGTTGTCACTGTCAATCTTCACGGAATGTCCATCTTTGTTCAGGCTAAGTAACATGGTGATAGTGACAGTTCCGAACATAACATGTATATCAACTGTAAACTAAGTTACAAAACAAAAAAGATAATATCATTCCTTGAACTCAAGATGGAAGGTTGCACCAATATAAGTTACATAATACTAAGATATTCATTAACAAAACGCACGTACACACACACACACACACATGCATATATATATATACATATATATACATATATATATATATATATATATATATATATATATAGTTTGTTTGTTGTACACCAAACCAAAATCAGCGCTTATCACCTCCTTAGTCGTTTGTTCCAGGCTTTGTATGATGTGCTTGTCGTTTTCGGTGTGGCGGTACGGGATATTACCAATGTTTCTCCGGTGCCACGGGAATTCGTGCTACGGCAAAACTGCTACCGACAGCCGTGCTACGACATCACGTTTTACTCTGCATTACTTTTACTGAAAAAACTTATACTGACGCTACTTATACGTGACATGACTTCTACTGCAAACACTTACATGCGACATAAGTGGTGCGCGACAAAACGTATGCTTCAAATGACTTATGCACGTTATTACATCTACTGTAAAAACTTGAATAGCCTTTACTTATGTGTAACACTGCTTCTATCGTAAAAACTCATGCACGACATGAGTACTTCATGACAAAACGTATGTTGCGAAAACATATTCCAGTCATTTCTTCTCCAGTGAGGACCTATACTGTCTTTACTTATATGCGATATGATTTCTGCTGCAGCGAGTTAAATGTCATACAAGTCCTACAAACCAGAACTTTAGAGCAATGACAGAATTCCAGGTGAAGAACCCTATACCATTTACATGGCATAACGTCTACTGTACCTTCGCATTCTTTTCTTGTCAGCGATATGACTCCTTCGGCCAGTACTTATAAGAAAAATTTGTACAAGATGATGCAGGCCAAAATTCACAAGTTGCAACCGTCAGTACTTCAACCCATAGGTTAAACCTCACACACACAGCCTGGAGAGAACGAACACATGACAGCGCTTGGCTGCGCTAAATGGGGATGCAAGTGCTCGCTCCATGATGTCGATGAATTATTGCTGCTCTAAATTTGCCATCGACAAATCCACGACAACAATAGTCCTATCCGACATTTCTTCTGTGAAAAAAACATGTGGTGCACTCTCGCATAGTTGCAATGCAAGTTTGAGGGGCTAAACAGGGAGACACGGCCAAACTTGCTCCAAAATGATAAAACATGGCGTTGGTCCTGAATGTGACACAGCCTCCTATAACAGATGAGAGGCAGATGCAGTCCCGACTAAATCTAGCAAAACACCCTTGGATTGGTGATCCATGAAACGGAACACTACTTGTTCCACAATGACTTATGTAAAGCTTCCGAGCTACACGACATAACTTATGCCCTGAGTGTTATACACGTCTCGGTATTTTGGTAATCAAATTTTAGCCTTTACCCCTGCGCCAAACACCACAGGTCGGCCAAATCACGCATTTTAATGAATAAATAGATTTTCGTATCAGCACCAGGAACTTTTAATTGCAGTATTGCGCAGCCGGGGTTCCGCCCTAGCATGTGGACTGTTCCCACACCCCTGCTAGGTGTCCGCGCATTTTGTATCCCAAGGCAAGCATAAACGGCAGATGAAGCGTTGCGAATGCGTTTAGACTATATACATTTTTTGCAGAAAAAGTAATGCCAATGACTCATTTTTGAAGCACCGATTTTGTCACATAGCACTAATATAGCATTCGTGTCTTTGCAGTAGAAGCAATGTCATGTATAAACATCGGCTGCGTAATATTTTACAGTAGAGATAATGACGGGTACCTATAAGTTTTTGAAGCAGAAATTTGTGGTGCAGCACCAATGAAGCGTATGAATCTTTGCGGTAGAAGTAATGTCGCGTATAAGTGATAACTGTTCAAGCATTGGTAATAGGAGTAATGACGGGTTTAAATTTTGGCGGGATAAGTTTTGTCGTGTAGCCCCAATGTCATGTTTAAGTACTGACAGTAGAAGTAATGTCGTGGTACTCTTATCGCAAGGGGTTTTATTGTAGCACTGTCGTGGAGCCCCTTCACCCACATGTCACGGTTTCGATCGATTCAATGAACATTCTCTGGATGGAATATCACACTATAAACACGCGCATATCTAAACGACGATACGCAGAACGTATATATAAGTTTGGTTGTTATCACATTTCTGCCAGACACTTTTTGAACCATTTGAAAAATGGCTTTTCTGATGCTGCATGAACTAATTCGAGGCACTCTTCTGTGCGGCTGAAGTTCGTCATTTGTAAAATCGATCATCCCAGCTAGACGAAACTAAAAGCTGTCTGTACTTGATAACGCTTGCAGCGTGAGCATGTGTAGAGTACATGTCAAAACGTTGGCGTTTCGCTGCATGAGCAAATTAAGCCATAAGATGCTGCCAAACATAGTAGTTTTAAGCAGGATATCAGGGTTTAATCAGGATAGACTTTAGCGAGTGGCAGAAACATACTACAAACTACACTATATCAGTGCTTACGTCACAAGTGGTGACATAGGGCTTTTCCAATGCCCTTCAGATCAGTGCTTTGCACAGATTTGTCAGCCAAGATTCACAACACATACTAAACAGTGTAAACTACCAAATAACTATGCTTATTTCTAGTCGTAAGAATCGTGACTAGTCACAGCATCTCGTGACGAACGTGATCAGTTTGCTGCGAAGCGTTTTAAAGCGTCGTTCCAGTTGAGGCGAATGGCCTCGATTGCTCGCCACGCGGTAATGCGTTGGGCTCAGTGCGAGGCTATGGGCCGCTGTTGGTTATGTTCATGTCGTGAGAAGCTGACTGATTAGAAAAGCATAACCAATCATCAGCTTTTTAAGGTAAAAAACGTTACAAAACCTTGTCGATCTCAAAGGGTTGTTTGTAGATACCATAGCTGTAACCTCAGAAGTAAACGAAAGACGTTGGAGCGACGCGTGCTAAGGATTCACTGGGGCTATATCATGGGGCTACATATATATATATATATATATATATATATATATATATATATATATATATATATGTATATACAAGAAGAAAGGTACGAGCACTTCTCTTTATCTTTATCTATATCATTACATAGATGCATAGATAAAGATATACATACATAATCTAAATTACGGCTATAAAACAGGGAAAGAACTACATGCTGAAAGAGCCTGATCAGTCAGCGCGGTACCTCATCAGTCAACACGCGGAAGCCGAGCCGGAAGAGCAGGAACCAGCGCTGACCGGCCACCTCGGGCGTCGCTCCGTTGACCTCGGTCCGGTTAGCCGTGTGGAAGAGGTCGCCATAGAACTTGTACCGGTGCACCAGAGACCGGGTGGCGTCCAGCATACGCCTGGGGGCGTGCTAGCACCGGTGAGACGGACACAAAGGAAGGGCGCGAAGGAGATGAGCGTCGCCACAGGTCGGGCCCCTTTTACAGCTAACGTGGAGCGCGTCGCCAAGAAGCACTTCGCGGGACGCCGCCGGCTCTCACGTTAGCGCACAGCGTCTATGACGAAATCAAGATAGATCTGTGGAATCCACCCGCGAGGCCACGGTCCTCATTGCACTGCCAGCTGCCTGTGCGCAGCGTCAGGACTCGGACGCGGGGTCGGCGCTCGTCGTCCCCGCTCACCCACTGGGTGCCTTGTGTGATTAGTGGTGTGGGAGCGTATGATTGAATGCCTTTTAGCCATGCGCCAAGCGTCTGAGCGTGTGAAAACACGCGTCGTGGTAATCCCCTCGTGTCGTAGCGTTAGATGCCCCGGAAACATGCGCTGTGAATACAGCGTTATCCATCATGAGACATCAGCTGTAAGTTTCATGTTGCGCTTCGCTCCCGCTCGCCAGTTTTAGTCTGGACTCCTACCACGGACCAGAAGCGTCCCTAACCCAGTCTGATGAACCTCCTACGGAGAACACCGCGTGAAACCATTGTATATAACCCCCCAGTCGGTCCGAGATCAGGCTTCGGCGGCTGCTCGGCCGCCACCCGGCTCACCTCAGTATCTCAGAGGCCAGCTGGTCGGCCTGCTGTTGCAGCTGGGGCGTGGCACGCGCCAGCTCGGCCTGCACGCGCTGGTGCTCGGACGTGCCGGCCCGGTGCGCGTGCAACATCCGTTTGGCCAGGATTTTCCGGGCGAACGCCTGCAGCTGGATGATGGCGGCCGACTCCGCAGCGCCGTAGCCCCTGCGCCGCGACAGGCGCCGACGGTGAGACGCACATGCGGCGGCAGTCAGTCGTAGGTGTCCCACTTGGCAACAGAAACAGCCCCAACACACTGCGCGGGAGTCTGCAAACTACGCCACGATGAAAGATCGTATTCGCTTTGTGCATCCGGTCTTTGGCAGTCGGCAGTTGGGAACCGTTGCATTTGATGCTATCGGGAGCTATCGGGAAGCCGTTTTGGTTGGAAGTTCGCGTCCGACTGGCCTCATTGGCTTGGAAAGTTTCTGCAATTTACGAGGCCAGCCGGTCGAATCGACCAACATCCCGGCTAGGCCAGCCGCTATCACGATTGTCAACTGGAGCGGCGCCAGCGTGGCCGCGATAGCTGAAATATTCACATCCACATACATTTCACAAGCTCACAGTCCCGACCTTTGACACCCATCCTGCAGACATCAGGCCCAGGGACGCATCATGGCTTCAGAAAACAAGATCGATGGAGAGACGGATGGGCTTGGCGCAACTGTAATAAGGTATGCAAACGAATGTCTGTATCCGGGCACACATAATAAACATTATATTCGTGCTATTAATAGGTTCGTTTTTATTTAATAAGCTTTTAGTTAGATTGTTTTCATCCTAGTTCGAAGACAGCCTTCTGCTCTAGAGCCACTATGACCTCAAGCGTCCAATATCTCTACAGTATATGGCGAGGTTTTTGTCTCGGCCACGTTTCTTTGGTCACTGGCCGCTACTTTGGTATCATATCTGGCCCAATACATCTGAGGAGCTGCTCGCCCCTAGTGTCGTCTCCATGGGGGTAAGCGCCTTGGTCCTCTCGCAGATCCGATGCTGATTGTCAGTTCATGGGAATAACACCCCAAAAATATCTTTAGGACCTAAAGAGTTATCAACTTTGCAGCAAAACTGGTTTTTGAACGCAAAAAATTCGGCCAGGTTTTGGATCTGCAGGAGAAACTCGGCTGAGTCTCGACGGACGGCATTGCCGAATGCCGCGCGGTGGCGCTTTTACGTAAGGTACGCATTCTGGTGAGTCAGAGGCGCCGGCCCGCGAGTTCTGGGAGATACCCCAAACCTGACATCGTCACACACGGCAGGATGAGGATTTTTGACTCTCGGTCACGCACTGAAACGCGAGGAGGAGTCGCTCGTGTTGCCGGGCTACCACCTAGTATAACTCCCTTCCCCGTCACCTGATGCGACTCGCTGGTATGAGATTTGGCCGCGCGCTGTGGCGCCACCTACTACTACTTCGACGTCCATTGAGTACGGAATGGTCCGAGCCGTGTATGCGTTGCGTGCGTGCGTGCTGCTTGTATGTGTGTGTGTTGTGTGTGTGTGTGTGTGTGTGTGTGTGTGTGTGTGTGTGTGTGTGTGTTGTGTGTGGTGTGTGTGTGTGTGTGTGTGTGTGTGTGTGTGTGTGTGTGTGTGTTGTGTGTGTGTGTGTGTGTGTGTGTGTGTGTGTGTGTGTGTGTGTGTGTGTGTCGTGTGTGTTTCATTTGTAGCCCGTGACACCTTGCTTCAATGTTGTGATGTTGGACTTGAATAGTCACGAGTCCATCCTGGGTAGTCCAAATGCACATCAATGTCTATATATGTTATGGCAGGGGTCTCCTGCTGTGGCATGGTCTCCAGCACATTAGGTGTTCATCTTGTTGGGGCGTGCTGTAGTTCATGGCGATAGCCTCCATTTGGGAATCAACTAGCACCTTCTTTTCGCTGGACTAGAGCATTCCGCTGCAGGCTTGCAGCTATCCATCTGACTTGCTTGACTCAGCTGTGCGCTTCGCTGGGCCGGTGCCCTCTCGGCGATCAAAATCAGACCTCTTGCCTCATCTGAACTCTCAGTCACCCCCGATACTTTTATGATGGAAGACTGCTGTCATTGATAATAGGTAGTTCTTGCAGCATGGTGCCTCCGGTGCATATAAGATTCTTTCATAACTGGGACGTCTTCCCGATCAGTGTTTTGCATGGTTGCTCGTGACCAGGCATTCTGGCCGCCCCATTGCTGCTAACCAGCAGCACCCAAGGCGCTGCGAGTCCCGTTCACTCAGTCTGTCTGGCGTCAAGGGTGGTCGAAAGTTTTGATCGCTCAGCCTGTTTGGCGACTGGGTGGCTGAAACCTTCGATCACTCAGCCTGCCTGACGACTGGGTGGCCAAAAGCTCTGTTTACTCAGCCTGCCTGACGACTGGGTGGGTGGCCGGCCGCCCGCTCCGCCTGGCCGGTGGGGCCGCCGTCCGCGGATACAGCTGCGGGCCAATATCGCCAGAAAACACCCCGTGCATGCTTCACACACTCCGCAGAAGCAGGAACGAGTGAGGCAAGGCAGACACCGAGTCCCTTTTGCAAATTACCTCGGGGTCTGTGACGAATGTAACTGCTTAGGCCATTGCTGCCTTTTAAGACTGATCTACTTATACTTTTTTCCCAGCATGGACAAATCCCTATCGGCGCAAGGGATCATCTTACTGAACCGGAAAACACACCGCGGTGGGACGGAATAGCCCTGTAGCCCTCGACTGGGAACAACAATGTGCCCCATAGTGTTGTACTCAAGGGAGTCCCTTTAGCAGAAATAAATAAGGAATCTCAGTAGTGTTGAACGGAATGGGACGGAATGACGTCAAAACGCACAAGGCCATCCCAGGTCTTCCTGAGAACGTTCATTGTTTTGCAGAATCGGCTAATGAAACACATATAACATGACAGATTAGACCCTGGGCACCGGGTGCCGCTAGTGGAGTGGTTAACGCGCTTGTGTCTGCGCCTGCCTTAACTACTAGACGTCTGGGAAACCACAGGTACAAAATTCGATTCCCCACGGTGTCCGCACTTCCCGCCAGGGTGAGAGGCTGGCGGAGCCATATATCCCCAACAACTGGGTGCGTCATAAAGCCCCAATGACAATGCCATCATCTCGGGGAATAAGGATAGCGATAGCTTAAGTCGCAGCTTTCGCAAAACCGAACGGCGTTGGCCACTGTAAGTAACGCCAAGGAACGGGCCCAGTACGCGCTTGAAACTTTGAGGTTGTCCTCTGGACAAGTTGGCAGTTACAGCAATACAGGAAATAGCGATTTTACCCTACTCTTCCAGTTCCACCACGAGATTCTAGCACCACTTTGCGGTACTGTAAAAACTTATATGTTATCATCGTCAGTCTAAAAACCGCACAGGTGAAATATACGCCCGGAATATCTCTAAATGCACGATTTGGCGTCCAAATGCTCTCAAAGGTTCTTCTTTCAGATGGGTCACCATTTTCGTCCACCTGTTGGCCACGGTCCTGTTAAAGCCACGGGCTCAAGTTTCGCGGCCGAAGGAGACTACAACGCCTGGTGTCGAGTTTTTTGTTTCTAAGATACGCGGGCGCACATGCTCAAAACTACGTTGCATAATTTGTTCCACTTCTAAATTCTGGCTGAATGTTGAACATACTCAGACAAATGTGACTTGGCCATGTTAAGACAAACTGTTGACACATTTTGACCTTCAATCTACATTTGCGGAATCCTTGCTATCTCTGTAAAACCCACATAAAGTTATGACACAATTTTTGAATTTCATCTATTTAGAAGTGTCACTGGACGACTGTAAAATGAAGAGCATCGGACATTTAATTCCTGCAGTCATTTAAAGTACGATCTTGTCAGTTTATTTACCGTAAACTTCAGGCAGAATTGATCTCGCGGTAGTGTCTGGCCAATGCGCCTGTTATAGAAAGTAAAAATGTGTAATGAATAAATAATATATAAGTGAACATATATACATATATAAAAAGCATGACCTCAATAACCAATGCGTCATCTCCGGCGATTTTGGGGGGGGGGAAACCCTCGCACTATCAGGGAGCCTTTTGTCAACCCTGTGCCCCCTGGCAAGTCTCTGGCTGTGCCCCTGCTTACGATACTAAGCTCCCTTTTCGCTCCCCTTGTCCCCAACAGTACAGGCGACCAGCACCACCAGCAAATATCAGCCCCGGCTGTTGGCATTTCCTCAGACACAGGGTCCATCGTGAAGCCAGGTGGCCGCACGTCTCCTCACCTGCTGGCGACGTCGTCGGCGGCCGTGCGTCGCTCCGAGTCGTCGCGCGCCTGCTTGCCGCCGCGTTTGGCGGTTTGGGCGCTGCCCTTCGAGCCGACATCCTTCTTGGTCTGCGCCGGCCGCTTGCTCTTGGGCCGGTCTTTGGACGGCGCTGGGCTGGTGGCACGCCGACACCGCATCGTCTGCTGCTGGGACGAGGCGCGGTCAGACGCGGCAGCCCGCCGCGCCGGGCGCGCTCCAACAAACACTGCGCCGCGTCAGGCCCAGCCGGAGCATTGTGCCGAGACACAAGCACGGGCTCTGCCGGTCGGGGCCGGCTATAAAGCCGCACGACCATAATGATGGGTGTTATAAATACATGCATGCCTTCGAAGATTTTGGTGATCATGGTGCTTTGCGTGACCTGTGACATTAGCGGTCATGCGACACATATTGACTCGACGATTCTTAGATGAGATTAAATGCAGCTATAAATTGCCACTTGAACTCTTATTACTATAATCACAGCTACAGGTGCGCACCACTATCGGTGGCACCAGGGATCACTGATATGCTGATAGCGGTGACCCTGACTTACACACGGTATCCAGATTTGTTCCAGTCCGGAACGTACGCAGGAATTCGCAATGGTGGAACTATACAAAATTCCCTGAAATCCAAGGTTAGCGCACCGCAGGGACGCAAAATTCCTTCATGGCATGAACTATGAAAAGTTCTTCATTTTTTCAGTTTTGTTAATCTCCCTCGAATATGAGTTGCCAACATGTATATACTTACATATTGATAGGTTTTGTAAAATGTTTGAAACGGGCGGAGGAGGGGGGGGGGGGGGGGGGAGGACGCGCGCACTTGAAGACCAATACGTGCGATCCTATATTCAGCCGTGAAAAACATATATATCCCGTGCCTCGCACTCCCGGATGTCAGCGACAACCATGAGGCCGATCAGCCGCCGACTGACCGGCTATGGGTGCTCTCAATGCCTTCCAATGTAAACAGCGAACGGCAATCCAGCTTGTTTATCAGTTACTTGCGACTTTCTGTGAACACGCCCGCAAAGCAACCCAGACCACATGTGTGCAGCAGACGTACGTTTATGTTCATAAGGAAACAGCGCCAGGGAAAGACGGACTCGCTGTTCACGGTGCTGCCCAGCAGCTGCGGCAGCAGCTCGCACAAACACTGCAGGAACGTCTGGCGGATGTGGATGCAGATCATGAGCGGCTGGCAGTCACAGGACATGTTCAGCAATACTTCGTGGTAATAAGACAGCCAGTCTCATCACCACCACTGCCGTCATGCGTTTCTCCAAAATACTTGCATTGCATACAGATTATGACATAAAAAGCACTTTTGAACACTTCGAGAACGAGCGTGGAAGTCGTACTGTGAACGGTGTGAACGCTTTATACCTGCACTCTTCTTCGGAAGACAGGAATACTGGAAAGCGGAATGTCAAGCGAGCGTAAATCGGTTTTAAAGACCACTAATCGTTTTCACAATGGTTTAATGCGTTGAGAGCCTAAATTAGTTTTGAAATATTCCTATAAAGTTTCAGTATATACCAAACGCTCTGACAAGGAAATGACTGTTTACATGCAGTTGCATTTGATATAATAGTTAACCCACACATACCCAACTAAAATTAAGTTAATGACACAAAATGCCACTCTTTACAGACATTTTGCTCTCAGTCCATGTCTTTAGCTTGCCCCAATGCTAGGACAATATCTGGGCTGTTAATCAGCCGCGTCGATCTGTCGAAAGCGTTGGATGCTGGCTGTTCACTGTTTTTGTTCACATCTGTTCAGCGTGAAGCAAGGCGAGCTTCGAGCACAATTTAGTTCAAGTATCGTTCTCCATGGAGCATGTTTAGGTATGTAAGCCGCATGCCTATGAACAGAGACGCAGACAAGATATATAAGCTTTTTTTGTCGCGTTGGTATCAGACATGCCACCGCATTTTTTTAAAGTTTCGAAAGGTCTGGATATCGAGGGATCTGGTATCACACCTTCCCATAACAGCATGGTCTTGCAAATAGCCAACCAACCACATTTTAGCGGAAAACCACTAACAAAACTTGTGTCGTTAAAAAACAAAGGCTGAAAGCATTTTTTAAAAGTTTCGCACCATCATCCTCTGGTAAACGACCAGCATCTAAGATAAGTGTTAACCTCACATTCATTTTAATGATAGCACGGCTTAGCCTGAAATTTAATAAACGTTTATGAATCATTTGCATCAGCTCTTATTGCCGAATTCACCGGTTGCCATCAGACATCGTTGAGAGTGTTCCCTGAACAAGCCAAAAGCCCTGCATTTGATGCTGGTCTTACGCTCTGGCCGGACGGCTAACCTCCTGGTAGAAGACACGCAGCGCCTTCTCGTCCGGCTCTGTGACGGGGCAAAAGACTTGGTAGAGCGCCGTCATCCTCTCGCGGTATGTGCTGACGTTGCCAGAGCAGAAGTCCTGCATCATCTGCAGCAAGCCGTCGGCCACATCGCCTGCAACGGGCGGCGGCGGTAGGAGGCGGCGGTCAGAGGAGCGGTGGAGCGGCCCGACACATGATGGGCTCAGCTGGGCCGGCTGCAGCCACGTCAGACTGAATCAACAAAGGCTGTCTGCTGCCCGCGCAGATGACATGGGAGTTGGGAGACCTAACGACAGAGTACACGGCGCCGGCGACAGTCGTTGCCATATCGACACGTCCTGTTGGCCGCGCCCAACACAGCTGACTCCAGCCCCATCTGCCTGAGGCTCGGGCGATAGACAGATCTGGGGGAGGGGGGAGGGGGGGGGCGCTGGTCTCGCTTACTTCCAGTCTTCAGGTAGCGCAGCGGCGGCTCTGCCAGCCAGTGCAGCAGCTCCCGGACGGTGCCGCAGCGGAACTGGCTGCTGGAGCCCAGCCGGAGCGCGAACCCGCGGCCAGAGGTCACCAGCAGCCGGGCCACGTGTCGCCTGGGCACAGAGCAGGCACGGTCGCCGGTCAGGGCCAGGTTGCGGCCAGAAACAGCACAGGACCCTGAACAGCGATGGCCGGTGCCACGCTGACCGTCAGCCAGGTTTACGCCCGGATGGTGTGACCGTGCCCCGGACGTTCGCTGGGCGATGGCAATCTAAAGACTTCACTGCGCGCTGGCGTGTCGCACGCGGTGCGTGGGCTACAGACCCGGGCTGGAGCCGGATGCTGCCGGAGTCGGGCGTCCTCCGCCCCAGGGCCAGCAGAACCGGGCCCGGCTGGGCGTCGCTCCAGCAGTACGCGGTGGCCACGACGGCTCCCCTGCGCTCCGGCGGCTCCGACTCCGGCTCCGGCTCGGCGGGAGCCGGCCCCGGCCCCGGCCCCGACTCTGGCTCCGGCTCCGGCACCGGCTCCGGCTCCGGCTCCGGCGGGGCGGCCAGCGACAGCGTGCCGCTGGCCAGCACGGACGGGTCCGCGCCCGGAGCGCTGTCCCCGCTCTGCGTCACGGCGCTCCGGCCAGTGCGGACGCTGTGGTCGGTTGGCGACAGCGACTCGTCTGTCTGACGGTCAGCGACAGGGACCGTCACATAGTGACCGCCATGGCGTGGGTTGTTCTATGAAACGCACGGCCAAATACTTCATTGTTTCCAGAAACTCACTAAAAACATTAAAGGTTTTGCTATAACTATAGTAACAAAAGAGTTTCTCCACATACCAGTTCTAGCACGAACTGCCTAGCTCTAGCACATGGCTTGAAACGGGGAATATGACATCTAAACTGGTTGGATGACACCTATTCTCGGGGCATCCACATAGACAGTATTTTTGAAGCATTTTAAAATGCCACAGAAAATAGTTATTTCACGCCATAAATCACCGCGACCATGTCATCATTTACAAAACTGTATGCCAGCTTTATGCTCCTGTACCAAAACTCTGTCATGCAATACAGTGGGAAAGAAAATCAGAGGCAGCATCGGGCCTGAACATTATAAACCTATTCCTGGCGGAGGGCTTCACTTTATCGCCGAGCTTCGGCGTACATGGCGCCCATCGGGCCTGAACATAATAATCCTATTCCTGGCGGAGGCTTCACTTTATCGCCGAGCTTCGGCGTACATGGCGCCCATCGGGCCTGCACATAATAATCCTATTCCTGGCGGAGGGCTTCAATTTGTCGCTGAGCTTCGGCGTACATGGCGCCACGAAGGCGCAGGGGCTCCAGGCATCAGTGATTAGGTGCGGGCATGTAGGCAGCACAGATGGCGGAGCATTGGAGCCAGGGTAGTGATGGACTGGCTAAAAATCAATGTGCGTCGCATTTCGCCGGGCCTGTATTGATCGGCTGAAGAGGCTGCAAAGGCATGATAGCCGTTGGTAACTTGGCTGTGCAGGCCGGCGAACGTGTTGAGCCAAAGGTTTTCACTGCAGTACGGTTGGAGCAGTCGCAGGACAGTCAGTGGTTAAAGACCAGCAGCTCAGGGTCTGGCTGGGTCTGAGCTGGCCGTCTGGGCGCCTTCTCACCCCGATGGGCGGTTCAGGAGTCGTAGGTTCGGGTGGAGGTTCGGGGGGCGCAGTGTGCAGATTCAGGTAGATCACGGAGCTCTCCAGGCTGTCCAGGACTGAAAGCTTTCGTCAAGGAGTGCGACTGACCGATGTACGAGTACAACGCCGTCTACGAAATCTACGAAGTCTACGTGTACGTCCCATGAAGCTGTCTACGTTGGGCTATATGCAGACATTTCCGACTAAATTTAGCAAAGCGCGCACAAGCACTGACCCTTGGTCAATTACATGATACGTCTCCCCTGTTCCTGAGTCTCTGTTCCTGGAAAGTACGTGCAATCAATTCTCAGGCTGCCATGGTCGCCGAAAACGGTGCAAGCATCTTCATCAGACTGCAACCCGGACCGGTGACGGTGGGTGACGTCACCGACCGTACATCTACATCACACTGCAGCCCGGACCGATAACCGACGTTCACTGGCTGGATGACGGTGGGTGACGTCACCAACCGTACATCTACATCACACTGCAGCGCGGACCGATAACCGACGTTCACTGACTGGATGACGGTGGGTGACGTCACCGACCGTGCATCTGCATCACACTGCAGCCCGGACCGATGACCGACGTTCACTGACTGACTGACGGTGGGGTAACGTCACCGGCCGTACATCTACATCACACCGCAGCCCGGACTGATGACCGACGTTCACTAGCTGGCTGACGATGGGTGACGTCACAGACCGTGCGCGGGCCGGCGCGGCGATACTGCCCGCGGCAGGCGGCGGCAGGATACAGAGGTACAGTGGCTCGGTGTGGTCGACTCGCCGCAGGCTGTGCTCGCTGTCCGAGTGGCGGCTGTTGGTCGACATGCGGCTCTTGCCGCCCGTGCCCTTCTCCTTGTCGCGGCCGGTACCGACGGTGGCGGGCGCGGCCGCCGGTGCCAGGTCGGAGAGCACACACTGGTGCCGCAGCGCTGACGTCGAGTAGAACAGGTGGAGCCGGCTGCTGGCGCCCGGCACGAGTTATGCTGACTGCGTCACATGCTGGCGGTGATCAAACGAGCTGGTGTTTGACTGTTTTCGTCTCACATGCGATCGGAAACTATTACAAGCACCTTGCATTGCGCGCCATGAAGCTCCAACACAACACTCTGATGCACATCTAGAAAATGCCAACTTTTCACTTTACTGTTTGTTGCTAAGTAACAGACTGATGCTTTTTGAAACCGTATTCAATTTTTGACACGGAAAACAATCAATATTGGTTTTTGCAGTGGCAAGAGCTGTAAATAGCTTACAAATGTATCAGTGCTTCTTAGTTTTTAATCTAATGAGTTTCATAAACTATCAGCATCAGCGTCACTGTCAGAGATTATAGAAATGAATGCTTCGTCGAGGATGGTATGCATCACTGTTTTCTGCACATAGCGTGGTAGCTAATCCGTCCCATGTTCGCAAAACAAATAAAAGAGGTGGAATAATTGACTCGGCTGACGCTACTTGTTGACTCCGACACCTATGCTCCGTTGACTCCGACACCTATGCACCTATGCCGACTCCGAGACACTACTGTTTTGAGATAAAGACATTTTCGTGAGTTACTAAGTGCTTTTGCCAAGAACACTTCGCATATAAAGACAGATTTAGAAGACAGTATTAATCGCCTTATTCCTCGAACGGAAGAATGGAGAGATAGAGTGATATTTCAGCTACATGCCTCTATGGAAACGAATATCGGCAGTGACTACAAAATCGGCATCCGGTTCGAATCGGATCGGCAGGTAATTTTTAATTTGCTACTGTTGTTCGTCTCCGTAAAGGCATGCACCCAAAATGTCACACCTATCTCTCCAGTCTCCTGTTTATTCTACGGGAAATAAGTTATTTATACTGTCTAATCTGAGGACATTTTCATCAAAGTCATCGGTTTCTTGGACTTCCGCTGTCACATTCTACTCCTTTCAGGATGGACGTCGCCGTCGTGGGGTGGCCCTTGTATTCAAGATTGACGCTGCCTATAGTGACGTCAAAGCTCAGTCAAATGGGCGCCGGCGCAGTGGTGTGTGCTGAAGGGCTTAAGAGCCTACAGTGATTTACATCAGACGACGATGTTGACAACGACTGCTGTATGTCGTACCCAGTGCAAACACGCAGCATGGGAGGCACGTTGGTAACCTGCCTGAAAGTCTTGCAAAATTCGTCCATGTGCATCCAGGTTTTGGTTTCTCGCGTGTTGGCCATGATGATGGAAGGCGCCGACGGTGACATGGCCCGACCGCGTGGCGACCGGGGCGCAGGCTGAAATAATGCCGCCACATCGGAATGAAATAATGACGTCAAACCACAAAACTCGCGGCATGTTGTGTGAGAGCGGGATGCCGAGCTATCAGCCAGGATGTGGGAGGCATGCGATACGTGCTTGGCATGCTGAAGCAGGTGAACCGAGGATCTGGCCCACTTCATTACTCAAATATTCGCGCGCATGAATGCACACGCAACATTTATATGGGCGTGTAGGAACAGGCCAGTGGTGTCATTTCCGACCAAGATGCTTTTAAAATACAGGGTATTCGTTCAGCATTTTACAGATATGAACGTGGGCTATAGATGGAAACTTATGCATACAAGATGTAGTTAAGTAGGGGTGGGGATAGCTAGCTAACCTTGCCTCACCTCCGCCTTTATATTTATTCTGCACATAATTACGCAATAACATGTTGGGAGTAAATCACTAATCTTTGCTTATAACATTCAAACTGTGGCCCGTCTTTTTTGCATTCTTACTGAATGGTACAATGTCTTATCCCAGGGTTACCGGTTGGCATAAGGACTGCGTGTGCGAGGGTTTCGCTTTCGGTTTCGCTTGTCGCTTGGCTTTGCGATTGGGTAAACTTGGCTTGCCACTGGTCACGGAGTCTTGTACCGTTTGATCCTGTGTGCTAGGAACAGACGCAGGGACATCCTCGACCTGTAATTTTTCAAAACATCTTTCAAAGGGTGAAGAAATTACTTTTTCGAACGCAACTAAATTTGGGTTACTCGGCCTGGGCCAGGTAAGGAAGATCAGGTCTAGCTAATGCTAGACCTGATCTTTTCTTTAGCCACGTTTAATTCAGGGAGATGCTACATGTTAAGAGATGAAGTATAATACGTGGTTTTTCAGACCCCGGTTACATTACCACATAGCTACCATAGTCTAATATCTAATAACGGTATACTTAAGGATTTTGCTTGAGTGTAGTAGCATGATCCACATGTAGGAAATAACTGTTACAATTTTGTGGTCGGATGCTTGGCCCGTGGTGTTTTTTTTTTAACTGCCCCGAATTGTTGAGACCAGATCTGTGCGGATCTGATGTTTGACTCTTGTCTATTGGTTCTTCGTCCAAGTCGAATGGCTTGACCGAGAGCAAAGACCGCAACATGGTTATCCAAGTTTTGCATATCAACTCACTTATAAAGTATGTTTTAGTGCATCATAAGTGCGCATGATTTTGTATTGGTGCAAACTGAAAGATACTGGGTATTTTTTATCCATATGAAATGTTTTATCCAAATAACAGTTTCCACCATGGACTCAGGTGCTGAAAAGTTTCCTGATGTTTAAAAAATTGCTTTAAAAACGGAACGAGCCTCTTTATGCACGTTTGCCCTTCAGTCCATGCCTTTAGTTCACTCAAAGTCTGGGATAATACTAGGCTCGGAAACGGTACGAATCGCTCGAGGGCGTCGGATGTTCACCGCAACGTTGTTTACATCGGTATCGTGTGCTGTAAGATGGGTTTGAGGATCAGTCAGTTCACCAGAGCTCCCACGACGCTATTCACCAGAGGCATGTTTAGGTACGAACGCCCTTTAAGCGCGTTTACCTTTGAATCGGGTCGCTGCCAGGACGTATGAGTCTGTTTTGTCGCCTCTGCGCCATGCATGCCACTGATTTCTTTTGTAAGGTTGGAAAAGTTTCGGTGGGAAGAGATCTGGCATCATAACCGCCCGTACAAGCATGGTCTTGCTAATAGCCGCAAACCGCAGTTTTATCAACATATGCGTCTTTTTGCGCCCTTTACAAGCATTATTTTAGATATGTACAACATCATTTCTAGACGAAAATGTGCATACAAATTATGTCGTTAGGGGATAGAAGCTGCCGAATTTTTAAGCTCTGTTTAAAAGTTTCGCCTCGTAATCCATCATTAAAAACGGAAAACAGCTATCGCCTGAAGGCAATCACAATTTTGTTCACGTAACAAAGTTGCGGTCAGTCACAAGAATGCGACCGTTTGCCATAAAAACAAAAAGCCTCGGCGACATAGGCCAGAACTAGGTTGGTACACTCATTAAATGACTGCACTAAGAGCGACCACGACTTTTCAGTTTCGATTTGCCGATTTTCGATCAAGCAAATGCGACACCTCATCCGAGAATTAAAACATGGTGCATCAGAATAAAAAACTCAGCAAACGACGGCCACCATTGTAAACGCCAAGTCGCAGGGCCGGTCAAACTCCAGACACTTTTTCCTTTTGGTGTCCACTGTCGAGCGTGCGTCAGCCGGATTCGCTCACTGTTTCCCCGGCCACGTCGGAGGAGAGGGCGGTGGCTTCAGAAAGCTCGATTTCACTGGTCCCAGACGCGACCTCTGTACTGGACGGGGTCAATGACCCGAACAGTTCAAGCAGCGGACTATGCACTTCCAGCATCTGAATAGGCCGAGGCGGATCTGAGGCAGAACAGACTCGGGTAGATAATATAGTGCAGGGGACACCAGTGTTTTTAAAATAAATTTTTCTCGCGTTAACAGGGGTATTACATGCGTGCTTAACATTCATTTTGCCTGAACATGCGATAGGATAATCAACCCTACGAGCATTAGCGCTAATTGGAAATATAAAATAGGAATTGTTCCTAAATTACATAAATTAGCTCTTGGTCATGGAATTCAGAAGTCTTTCCTTTCGACAATTTACTGGGAGTGACGGAATAGGTGTGATGCATGCTAAAGGTGTCTTCAACAGCCACGTAACTGTTCAAGTGCTCAGAGGCAGACCAGTGAGTGTTTGTACACCGACTGTGGACGCACTGGTGAGGTCGGGATCCCACAGGTAGCGGCCGCACGTTCTTCCAGGGCGGCGTGGGCGGCCGCGGCGCCGGCCGCTGCAGCGGCACGTCCCGGAAGCGCGACACCAGCACCAGGTGGGGCGTGTCCGCGCCTCAGCGGCACCTCGGCCGGCGCGCAGGGCACGTCCTGCGGCAAGACCGCGCCTGTGGTCAGGACGCCGCCACGTCCCCCGCGACCGGCGACGGGCAGGCGCGCGGCCGACCGCGGGGAAGCGCGGCGAGACCGCGCCGTGGTCAGGATGCCGCCACGTCCCCCGCGACCGGCGACAGGCAGGCGCGCGGCCGACCGCGGAGTAGCGCGGCGGGATCGCGCCGTGCGGCCGGGCGGTTCTCTCTGGGGATATGGTAATTTGGTGAAGTCAAATAGAGGAATTCATCATCGGCTGGTGACGCTCAGCAGCGTTCTCTTGCCCACGAGCTGAGTTTTGCAAAGTAAATTGCGGACTGTGGAGGGGTGAATGACGGAACCTGCCCTCCAAGTACGCAAAAGGACATGTTCCTCCCCAAATTTGCATCACCTTTTGTCAAACGTAAAGGGGGTCACCACTGAATAACTGCACCCCTGCTCTCGCCTTTTATCATACACACCTGTGCATCTTCCATCATAGCGAGCACGAATGGTTTCTTTCGCAGAAGCGTCACTGATTCGGGCTCCTCAAAAACTTCATCAGGAGGTGGCTGGTTGATCGATTTTTTACCTTTCCCTTTCTCGAGTTTTCCTTTCTTTTCGTTGCTGGCGTTTGCCACTTCCCTGAAATATGATTCATGGTGCTTGCATAGCATCACATAATGTGCCTGACCCTTACGACCCTGTAAAATCCTGGTCCTGAGAAACACCGAGCTGGGAATCTTGAAAGCTATTGCATTATTATGGAGCTAATGCTATACCATCTGCGTGCAAGCATGACAGAGCGGCAACAAACTGCACAGCGGAGTATTTGTTTAAAGTGTCCGCGCAAGTGGCCAGCTCGACCCCGTGCTCTGCGTTTCGGTGCATATACGCAACTCATCAAATTAACCTCAATGAAAGAAACGGACCAGGGATGCAGAATGCTACTGCCATAAAATAGACGAGGTGACGAGACGCGACACAGTATATGGAAGATTAATTGCTTTTTTCCGTCCAGGTTCCACATGTTGTAAAATACGAGGTCACAGATGCCTGTCCGTGCCCACGGGGCGGTGCGGACCTGGCTTGACCTTGCCAGCGGCCTGATGCGGCGCCGAGGGCACCGGCTGCGGCGGCGGCGGCGGCGTCTGCGCCGGACTCTCAGGCCACTCGTACCGGGGCAGCACCTCCTCGCGCAGCATCGACCACACCTCCTCCGCCTTGTAGTGCCTGGGCATGCAGACAGCGCCACCAGAGCATCATCACATGCACACGGCCGCTGGTGACGCTCCTCACGCGACAGAACAGCGTTTGTCGCGACTGGCGGTCGTTAGCGTACCTCATTAATACAGTGAGCTCCATGCAGCCAGTCAGCATTGTCACTATTTCGTGGCCCTCCACTTCGGTGCTGGAACGCTGGCCGGCTGACAGTACCTGGAATACCATCACCGATCATGCGCGTTTTGTATTGCTAGGTAAGGGCTTCGGCTGTCCACCTGTGTTCATTGTTCATTTGTGGATGGGGATGCTAAGAAACTTTGCAGACCCAGTGTAATTACGTCCGCAATTTATGCACAAGACGCCTCATATGTGCAGGCACATAACCAGCCGATTACAGAGTTTATCGCGTGAAAAATATGATCATGCATAGTTGTGCATACTTACCACAAAAATGTGTCAATATCAATAAGTCTGTTATGAGTGTTGTGACAAACTTTTAAGTCCAAAAGTTAAAACAACCCTCCGGGCCTCGTACAAACTGGAGTCAGGCGACCATCAGGAGCACCGTATGCAGCCAACACGCACGCGGGAGAGTAAGGAGAGTTGCATCAGTTTTGCCCTGAGATTTCTCCTGCTACAGCTATTGAAGAGGGGACTATGATTCCTATATCTGCAGACAGCTATAACATTCAGCTTCACATACAGGGGTGAAGTTTTTGTTGAGTATTTCTTCGTTTTGGGTGAACAACTTTTTCTGAATAAACCCCTTTCAAATCAGACAACCTGCCCCACCCTGGATTAACTTGTTTCAGATGGCGGGGAAGCTGTGCTAAGTGTTTTTCGTAGAGACAATTTCATCGCAAGCAAGCTAAGTACGTTACAATATGTAAACCAAAGGTGGTCGTCTGTGCTATTTCGTTAGTCGTCGTGATTGCGTCATGACAGTTTCAGTTGTTTTACGATTTCTGCCACATCGGTTTGAGCTGCTCGGATAGAGCCAACGAATCTACATAGGTAATATAAATGTCGATTTGCTACCTAAATGACAATAAGTCATGGCAGTTGTGACAGTAATTCATTGACAGTGAGTTAGTCAATGACATACACCCGGTACACTATATCAGCGGTACAACACGTCACATTCACCTCTAATACAATATTTCAGACCCAACATCTTAGAAGAAGTTTCACGTTACCCCGAAATCCCTGGCTGGCAGAAGCCAAGTGCTTGGCAGTAAATACGACACACGTACTTCTTCACCATTCAGTATAACACCCATAATGGTTTAGCTATACCGTAAGCACTTCAACACACATGTACACCGATCGCAATGGTTTTTAACGATATGCTTAAAACGGATTTGTATATACTTGAATATACTTATATTTAATTATACTTAAATCAGATATACTTAAACTAAAACTGATATAATTTTAAAACAGATTTGTCGCGCTCACCTCGTGATGCGTGCTTATGCAGCCGCAAGTACACTGGCTAGTAAAGGATGCTGCTGTGCGTTAGCTGAGTGACGCAAGACTGTTATCCGTAGCATAAATTTCAGGTGGGTCACTCTGAGGCTTCTCGGGTATGATGCAACTCACCGCGCCCCTGCATGTTGAATGCAAACTGATCATATTTCGCAGACTCAAAGGCAGCAACTCACAAACTGGTTGAACAATGTTATATGACTTCTGCTGCCTGCCGGCCTGAGCCCACGTGCGCTGTGCGAGATCCATATGTAGTGTCCGCGTGCGCCATGCGAGATCCATGTTCAGAGACCACGTGTGCTGTGCGGGATTCATGTCCAGAGTCCACGTGCGCTGTGAGAGATCCATGTTCAGTGTCCACGTGTGCTGTGCGAGATCTATGTCCAGAGTCCAAGTGTGCTGTGTGAGATCCATGGGCGTCGCCGAAGGTGTGGGAGATAGGACGGGGGGGGGGGGGGGGCGTCCCCTATTCTCAAAAAGATAATTCCTTCCTATAAAGAGCGAAAATCCAAACAAATTTTCAATAACCAGCATGCAGAATCTGAATCTCCAGCGAAGCTGTTTGGGCCGCACTATTGAAAACTAGGATAATACAATTTTGTATCTGATCCAAAATTACAAGGTTTGTAGCATCTCTAATTTCTTTTTCGTGACAGCACGACACACAACGAGAGAAATTGCGTTGTACACGATTATATATGGGAGTTTCGGATTGCACTAAAGGTAGGGATACACGCAACATTTCCTAGCGTTCAGCAAGGGTGTAAACCCGATCAGAAGACTGATCAAAACACTGTTCGCTGCCGGCATCACACTAACGCGCACATATTTCCACGCGCACACGCCCTGGATGGCCGGTTGAGTATTCTTCGCTCGGATGCGGATAAAGTGGGGATAAATTTAATCACCTGAGATCTCAGAAACTGAGAGCGTTAGAGATACCAAATTCACAGGGTGGTTTGGCCTGTGTGTATCCTTACTTATGGCAAAATGTGAGGTTCGTGGGTCGTGGCCTTCCGATCAAATAAGGTCATGATCTTCTGGTCAAATGAGGCCAAACAATACAGCTCAGGACTGGCGTCCAAAGTGCCACGAATCTCCTCATGCAACTGCCTTGAATCTAGGCACCTGTTCTAAACAAAGGGTCACTGGTGTTTATTTTAAGTCAGTGACCTTGTTTGATCCTTAGAAGGTCATGGCGACCAAATTTTTCTCTCTCGAGATTCTTTTGATTTCTTAGTTTTGATAAGCATTAAGGCTTACGCTAGGCAGTACATCCCTAAAAAAGAAAGGGTTGATCTGGGTTATTTTAAGTCATTGATCTACACTGACATTTAAGAAGTTCATCGAAGATGTCTGTTCCTGGTCCCCATTATCAAGAAATTCGAAATGAGCATCAAAGTCGACGCTATCGAGCAAGCTCTCTAGTATAGAAGCTGGTTGATTTGACCTCGCTCTGATCTTCATACCTGACCCTCGGTGAACGAAATTTGCTGTAATCCGAAATTCCTTTGTTTTATTGCCCAAGAAGCCATCTCAGAGATGCCTGGCTTCGACTAACACTCCGTTGTTGCATCAGAACAATTCTTGGGAATTTGCTTTCGCTGACAGCTACGGCCTGACGTTGACCAACCATAGATCACCGACCTTATAAGATGCATCTAATTGCTGTATACCAAAATATCTACTGTTCAATTTCGGACGGTCAAGAAAATGTTGACGCGGCTACGCAGCACCGTTCGAAATAAAATCATTTTGTAAAAACCTTCTGACCACCTACGAGCGCGTTAACATTGATAACCAGGGAAAATCCTTCTGGTTGCAACGCAGAACGCGTCGTTGGTTGAAACTTTGGAACCAAGGTCGCAAAAACCAAGGTCGGTTAAGTCGACACCTGGCATCGCCGATTGGTTCGTGTTAATAGACACGGATGGGGTTTGAGAACGAAACACGAATGAGCAACGCCAGCAATGGGACCGGGAGCCAATTGGCTGTCGGCGGCACTACCTCACCCCAGCGTAGACCACGCCCTTAAGGATGGCGCTACCTGAAGCAGCGCCTTGGAGACGATGAAGGGCCAGATCTCGGTGAGCTTCATGGAGCGCAGCAGAAGCGGCCGGCCGTCCTTGTCCAGCGGGCACCGGTCATCCACGCAGATCCTTCGCCAGCAGCCCTGGACTCAGACCAGTCCGGGACGCCGAGTCAGCCGTCTATTTCAGTCGGAGGACACGTGTTGACTACACGGGACGCGGGTCGGTCGCCAGGCTAGCCATGGAACCTACGGGCGGTTCATGAGCGGACCGAGCCAGCCGGAACCTGTGTCACAAAACCGCGGAAGGCCGTTCTCGCGGCCACAGATCCCCCGGCCAGATGTCATAGTCCTGACACGCCCGACGGTCTCATGAGTGTGTGACCCTACGCTACGTGTGCGTCCTGATGCCGACGGACCATGCATGTGAGCCCCATCTCCTTCTGGCGGAGGTTGCACTACGCCCAGCATTAACGTCCCGCGGCCACACATAGTGCTAGCGTGCAGGGTAAGCCGCCCCGCGTTTATGTTGTCAGCTGTTGCTATATGCATGGTAAGAGATGCCCGGTAAGAACCAATTCAGTACGAAAAAGCAGCTGCCGTCTGTATTTAGCTAGAAATACACGAGCAGGAGGCTGTGTTGTATTTTGCTGCGCTACTGCGCTCCCGCCCGAATGGCCTGCCGGGCCGCGCCGGCAGCCGCAGGACCGCCGCCCGGCGCTGTCAGCCCGTTGCTGAGGCGCCGGTCGACCAACCGCGCCAGGTACCAGAGGTACCAGAGCTCTATAAAACTGCTATGCACTGGCGAACAGTGCGTAAGGTTATGGCGCGTGTGCGGCTGACGTAAGCGCACAGTCGCCCTTATTGACTGGTGTGGGGATGCGGCGCTATGGCTCGACTGCTGTCTCTCCCGAGGGCACAACAAGTGCAATGTAGGCTAGTTTTTCTAGTTTGTACCAAACATTGGCAGGCGGTAGCTAAAGGTAGTGTGGCGCATGGGCCACAATAGAAAATGTGTTTGAAATTTAATAATTTTGTGCTAAGAAAATTGCAAGAAACTCAAGGAGTTGTACAATACATTACGCTCCCATTACACTGGTTCGGCTCAGGACGATTACAACAATCTTGGACTCTGAGCTCCATGTACTGGCCCAGAGCCATTCATCTCTCTAATAAACGAAAGAAAACCGGCTCATATGCTCGTTGGGTCAAGTAAAAAGTAAAACAACTGCTGTCATCCACTTCAAAGTATACGATTCGACTGTGCATGCCTATAGTAGCACCTGAATTTTCGGCCTCATAGTTGACTCCGGTCTGTCATGGGGTGCCCATGTCTCGAGCGTCGTGGAAAAATACAATGGCATCCTCGCCGCTTTTTAGCAATTCTTTCCGGGGCCGTCCACACTAAGTTTTGGTTCTTTTTATTTAAATGGAGGTCCTTACGCTGTTGTGTGGGCCCCACTGATAACCTGCTTGGGTACACTCTATCCCTGGGGAAGCCCCTTCATTGGGTTTTGCGTGCTTGCGATTTGAATGGAGAGCCCTACGCCCTTGTCGGGGGTCCTATCTGTTAGCCTGCTCCAGCCCATCCGATCGTTGGGGGGGGGGGGGGGGGGACTGTACATTGTGTCGTGAGTATTTCTTATTTGAATGAATGGTCCTATCCTCTTGTTGGAGCCCCATCTTTCGAACTGCTCGGGACGATGGTGAATCCAGAAGGGCAGGGGACATGGAGCCGTGCTCCCCTTTTGCCTCGAAGGGACCCATAGGCTCTGAAGGGGCTCATAATCAGGCAAACGGACGCAGCTTCCAAGCACAAAACACAACCAACTTAGACGTTTTTGGGCCACCAGGCGACCAAGAGCAGTCACAAGCGAAAGTGAAGCCCGTTAACAGACAAACTCATTACGGTGTCCAGAGGCGGTATGCTGTTGCCGGGGCCCTGTATGTCTACTTGCCGGGTCAGTCCGATCCCTAAAGGGTGTTCTACGCTGCCCTTGATTTCTTTACATTTTCCCGTGCGGCCTTAAGGTGCCTCTCGGGCACTATCTGCTAGCATTCCTGAGTATCAAGGACCAAGGAACAAGGAACAAGGATCAAGGATCAAGGAACCCTCCACGTACCCTTCCCATTTGCCCGAAGCGCCTCACACGCTTTTGTAAGGGCCGTAGATGCCGGGATACACTCAGTTAGTCAGTGGCCTTTCATAACTGTTTCGAGATCTTTCTACTTGTTCGGAGGACCTTGCACTGTTTGCTGAGGCCCAATATAACGTAAGACATTGGGGCACTCGATGCTCAGGGCCCTCTGCATTGATCCAGGGCCCTTTCAGTTTCATTCCGTTGACGGAGGACCCTTTTTCCCATTACGACCCTTTCCGTTAACCCGCTCGGCACACTTGATCGCACAGGGTCATTCCTTCACACACTGGTCTTGGGTGCGCACACGCACACTGACCCCTTTGCTCGATGCCCAGTGGCTCAACGGCTAAATGGCATTGACCCTACGATCTACCCAGGGTCCTATGCGGCAGCCTGCCGGGGCGCTCCCAATCGTTCAGGGGCCTATCACGATGGTCTTGGGTTCTCCTCGCTTGCTCTGAGGACCCTAGTTGTTGACGGCAGCCTCTTTGTCGGCCTGCCACGGCACCCATGACCGCTCAGGTTTCGTCTCTGTTGGCCTTGGTGCCTTAGTCTTAGAGCAGTAGTGGGATTTGCGCCGATGATTTGTACGCGCAGTATCGAACATGATTTACGTGCCGCCGGGTCGCGTGTCATATTCGGTTGTTTATTGAAATTTTGCCCTATTTTACTGTGCATCACATTATATTCATTCCTTTAATGTTTCCTAATGCTAGATAATTTTACTACATCAAACAAAGCAAAGCGCTATTTATCAGTCATCAGCCATCAGCTGTTTATATGGACCGGCTGGCTAGCTGTAAGTATGCCAGGCATCAAGTTCGTGATTAAATTTAATGACATTCCGCAGCCAGCGTTAGCTTATTTTTATTAATTTATTTCCGAAAACCTTAACCTCAATATGACAGGTGACCCTGATCTGGAGAAAAATGAGTAAGCTCCACGTTTGTGCGTATGTAGCACGCCTAGTTGTCTGGAGTTGCGTACACTAAGATGGGTTTCCGCATGAAATAACATATTGAGAAGCTTAGAATTATCTGACCGGACTTTGAGGATTTTTTTTGGTGGTGGGGGGGGGGGGCTGAACTCTATGTGGCCCACAGTGTGTGGCCCTTCAAATATCATAACCATAGATCACCCCTGGTTACCGGTTCCAAAAAAAACGCCATCATATAACTCCGGCTCTAAATTCCCTGGATGGCCGAGCATCGAGGCCATGGGCGCGCGTCGCGACGTGTGAAGTGTCATCAAGGGTGCTGAAGAAGGACCGCGCGCTTTTTGTCCCACGCGCCGCTGTTTGGACCCGCGCAACGCGCGCTCGGACAGAGCAGTCTGCACCTGCGCACACACCGGTTAACCGCCACACAGAGGGCGTTTTCGCATCGGGCCGCAGCTGCCTGGAACGTCCTGCCAACGTACGCCTGTGATGCCACAACACTGGGCACGTTTGTGACCTCCACGCGCAAGATGAGTTTGACCACTGACCACTAACTACTAATCTGATCCGGTCGATACTGCATAGCTAGGTCTGTTTGAACTCTTTGCCCGTTGTCGGTATAATTTTATGGTATACGTTAAGTCTGTGTCTTTTTGTTCTTCCCTCTATGTACTT